AGATCCTAGACATCTGAATCTTAGATGGCAGTATAAACCAAGAAGATGTGCTGGAAAAAATGACTTTTCGGATTACCTCATCACCTCATACATTAAAGGAAAACTGGTGAAGACAGAAAGTTCGAACGTGAAAAGCACCGACATAGAAGCTCTGCATACACACATGATAGAAGATTAAAAAAAACACTTCAATTGAGAATTTGGTTGTGAAAAGACACGATCAAGAAAATCTCATTTCCAAAAGAAATTTAGGTTTTAGAAAATCCCATTCAAATTGAACCTAAAACATTAAGTATGCAGAGTTGCAATTAATAAAACCCTTAGCTAAAACTAAGGGACTATTAATAAGCCAAATGCTTCATTGCAACAAAGAGCATTTAGCTTATGTCAAAGTAAAAAATAAAATCCTCAAATAGGTAATAAATTTCTAGATTAGCAAGAATTAGAAATAAATGGTTAGTTGTAGAATTAGAACCCATTGTCCATGGAACTGAAATTGATTTATTTGTGTGATGATTTAGAAGACACTGTTGCTATGCTGGAAGATTAACACCATTTTAGATACTATTTTCAGATGCTAACTAGATGTTAGGTAGTGAATTACTAGCTATGAACATGAAGATTGAAAATTTTATAAAAAAAGTGAGACTACTTGTCTAGTCATGGAACAAAAATATGTTGGATTGATGGCTAGACATTTTGAAGGCTTAGATGGTTTCAGAAAATAAAGTGATTCCCCTTGCAGATTACTTCTCTAGGCATGGAGAAAAATTATTAGAAGATATACAATTTTGACAACCTTCTCTTGACAAACAAGAAAAGGGCGATAGTCAGACATCATATTTCTATAATTCCAGGTTAATAGGAGAAAGAACTTAGAGGTTCATGCAGAAGGCAGCTATCAGAATAAAGTCTTGAGCTTAAACATTTCCGAGATGATAATTATAAATTAAAAGAAGCTATTATTAGACTAACCCAACAGTTAATCAAACACTATGATCTTATTGTAGACAAGGAGGTATTAAACACTTGAAACCATTCAAGTGGAGCAAGGTTTAGCTGAATGCTTTGGCTGTTTAGTGGGCTGTGGAACCAATGATAAGGTTCCATGCCAGTGATAAAACACATGGGGCCTGCACCTTTCACAGTGGGGCCCATGAATTTATTACTGGCAGGGAACCTCATCATTGGTTCCACAGCCTGCTGAACAGACAAAGCATTCAGCTAATCCAAATTCACTCAAGTGAGGGAGACTAAACACTTGGCAGCTGAACTGAACACCTTCCATTGGACACCTCAAAGTGCCAACACAATAATAGATGACTTGATCAGACAAAGAATCCATAGGGCTCAGTTATTTTGGGGGTGAAGGGGCCATTACTTGGTGTAATGGTAAAATCTCGGGTTGTCAAACATGAGAATGTGGGTTTCAGCCTTAGAGTGGCCACTTTGTGCGAAAAATGCCAAAGGATAGGACCATATCAAGTGCACCCCTCGCAAGACCCCAGATAGCTTTTACATTGGGTAATGGCCTTTTATATCTATGGAAACCTCATTTATGTAAACTAAGGGAAATGTAGGAAACTACTCAACAAAAAGGGGTGCTTACCACACTTATGATGTAAAATATTCTTTTAAAGTTTGAATAAAATTTTGATTGTTCACCAATAAAAAAAATGTTCATCCCAGCTATATTTGTTCTCGGGACTCTCTCTCTCTCTCTCTCGTGCACAAAGTAGTTGCTCTTAGACTTAAACCTACATTCTCATGCTTGTCAGCCTGAGGTTTTACCATTAAACCAAGAAGTGTTCCTCAACAACAGCTTGTTGCTAAATCACATTAAAAGAATTCTATAAGTTGCTTTGATTCACATAAGCAAATGTATTATCACTTATTCAAACAACTCAAGTCACATCAAGAAATAATGAGATATGGTAGAACACTATAACATGTTTTTATCATTTCAGTTCTTATAGATCAGTTTTTGAACTTTTAAAGATGGGACTTGGCCTGTCTTATATATCATAATTAACATAGCTAGGCACTCTTAGTATTAAAGTCTGTTGAGGACTCAACCTATGTTCTTGTATAATGTGATTTGTCTATAATTTATTTTGCTGCATTAAACAATCCAACCAAAGTCATGTATTTCTAAGAAAGAACATAGCATTTGGAAAAGAAAGATACAGAATTTGAAGGTCATACTGCAGATTGGTTTTGGATAATCCATTTTGGGTCACCAAATATACTTTGTAATTTCAAATGCAAAAAAGTAGGATTGTATAGCCCACAAATAACTAGTTATTATTGTTATCCAACTGATGATGTGGCTAGTGTGGATTTATCTCTAGCATCCCCCCTCAAGCTGGATAGGGGTGGACCAATGGTCAGCTTGCCCTTGAGATGAAGTAACCATGTAGAGGGAAGCAGTTTAGTGAGCAAGTCAGCGAGCTGATCATTGCTGGGAACATAATGTATGGAGAGTAGTTTCTTCGCAACCATATCTCTGATAAAATGAACATCAAGTTCGATGTGTTTTGTGCGACCATGATTGACAGGATTGTAGGCTAAAGATTTAGCACTCATATTATCGCACCAAACAGTAGAAGGAGAGAGCTGAATGCCAAGTTCAGAGAGGAGCATGGTGATCCAGGAGAGTTCTGCAGCAGTTAAGGCAAGGCACCGATACTCTGCTTCCGTATTGGACCTAGAGACAGTAGATTGCTTCTTCGAGCTCCAACACACAAGATTGGGGCCCAAAAATATAGAATAATCACTTTGAGAATGTCTATCAATGGGGCAGCTTGCTCAATCAGCATCAGCAAAGGCAGTGAGAGTGAGAGATTTGGAGGGAAGAAGAGATAACCCTTCAGATAGCGAAGTATTCACTTGATTGATGCCTAGTGAACGGTGGTGGGAGCTTTAAGGAACTGGTAGACTTTGTTTACAGAAAAATAAATGTCTGGGTGAGTTAATGTCACATATTGTAGTGCACCAACAATGCTCCTGTAGAAAGAAGGGTCAGAGAGAGATTCACCCTGTGAGGAGTCAAGCCTAATGCTGGCAGACATCGGGGTAGGGGCCGGTTTGGCTTCATGCATCTAAGCACGTATTAACAAATCTGATATATACTTATGTTGTGACAAATGAAGACCAGAAGAAGAGCAAGTCAGATCAACTCCCAAGAAACAGTGTGCTGGGCCAAGATCCCTCAAGGCGAACTGTAAATCAGCAATGAGAGATGAAATAGAAGCAGAACTGGAGCCTATAATCAGAATGTCGTCGACACAAACTAGGAGAATAAGAGTTTCCCCTTTGGTACGCCGAAGAAAAAGAGAGGAATCAGCCTGTGATTCAATGAAACCCAAGGTGAGAAGATTAATCTCGAAGCCTAGTGAACTAAGCCCGCGGGGCTTGCTTGAGGCCATACAAACTGCGATTAAGTCGGCAAACATAGGAAGGGTACCGGGGATCAAAGAACCCAATAGGCTGCTTCATATATACTTCATCAGTCAAAATACCATGTAAGAAGGCATTACTTACATCCAGTTGATGAACGTCCCAGTTGTAGGAGAGAGCAAGAGAAAGTACAGTACGGGTAGTGGTAGGCTTAACAATTGGATTGAACATTTCATCATAGTCGACACCAGCCTCTTGAGTGTATCCCTTAGCAACGAGACGAGCTTTGAAATGCTCAGTGGTACCGTCTGACGACCGCTTGATCTTATAAACCTTCCGATTGCCAATTATGTTTTTGTTGGGAGGAGGAACCAACGACCAAGTATTGTTGGATAATAATGCTTTATATTCATCTACCATGGCAAGAACCCACCGAGGATCATTTTGAGCCTAAGAGTAGCAGCTTGGCTAAGTCTCACTAAGAGTGCTAGCCTGTAATGCATAGCGAGGGTTTGTCTTGAAGACACCACACTTAGATCGAGTCTCCATAGGATGAGTGGAGATAGTAGGAAACACATTTTCAAGAGAGGGGGCAACGGTGGCATAAGGATCTGGTGGTTTAGTGAGGGGTGTAATAATCTTAGCGGAGGGTGGAGCTGTACCTACCACTGAAGGAGTGTTGTGAGAAGCATGCCGAAGTGGTGGAGGACCAAGAATCGACGGTGCAGGGTGAAGAGATGCAGAATCATCTGTAGAGATATTGGCAAATGGGAAGTGCCCTTCATTGAAAATAACATTGCGAGAGATATACAAATGACCAATTGACAAATGAAGGCACTTATAGCCTTTATGATGAAGACTGTAACCCATAAACACACATTCATCAGAACAATATTCCAATTTAGAACGTCGGTAGGGTCTGAGGTATGGATAACATGAGCAGCCAAAAACCCTAAGTAATGTGTAATTAGGAGCAGTTCCAAATAATTTAAACCACGGGTAAGCCATGGAAAGAGTTGGAGTAAGCAATCTATTTATGAGAAAAACAACAGCCTCAAATGCATCATACCACTTGTTTTGCAGAACAAAGGCCGTAGCCATGAGAGTTAAGCCTGTCTCCACAATAATGCGATGTTTGCATTCCACAACACCATTTTGTTGGTGCGTATGAGGACAGGAACGCCGATGGTAGATCACCATAGAATGGAAAGCATCAGTAGGAGGCTTATACTCTGTTCCTTAATCAGTTTGAACAACCTTGATTTTACAGTCCAATAAATTTTCAACATGAATTTTGAATGAAAGAAATAAGGATGGCGCCTGAGATTTAGCAGTCATAGGAAATATCCAAATAAATTTACTAAAAGCATCCACAAAAGATAAATAATATTTAAATCCTTCAACCGAAGTGGTGGGCATAGGACCCCAAACATCAGAAAAAATTAATTCTAATGGTTTCGTAACATCTGAATTACTAGAAGAGAAAGGAAGAGAATGAGCTTTCCCTCTAGGACAAGTCGTATAGAAGGAAAAAGTCTTATGGGAAACAGGTAAATCATATTTGGAAATAATATGAGAAGTAATCCTATGATTGGGATGTCCTAAAGCAAATGCCAAACATCCTTGGAGGTGCATTCTCCAACCAAAGCTGCAGGACTGCTAGAAGAAATGGATTGCACCTTGTATAAGCCATATTTAATTGGTCCTTTGAAGAGAGTCTTCCCCGTCATCTGATCCTTTACAAGAAAATCTGAAGCATCAAATATAAATACTACATCATTATCCTTGCAGAATTGGCTCACTAACAATAGAGTTTTAGTGATCCGAGGTACATGCAAGATATTATGTAAATCAAAGAATCCAGAGGTGTGAATAGTGGAAGAACCAATGTAAGAGATGGGTAAATGCATACCATTACCAACAGTGATTTCCTTAGAACCATTGCATGGATTATGTATGGACAAATTATTGAGGTCTGTAGTAAGGTGATTTGTGGTGCCAGAATCCGGATACCAAACTGAGTCACGAGAAGACCCTGCAGAAGAGGTAGTGCAAGATGCTACATTGGCGTTCTTGTTGGAAAATTTCTTCACCCCTAGAAGCTCCAGATATTTCCTGCAAGTGGTGGCAGTGTGTCCAACATATCCATAAATCTGACAAACAACAGAAGTATCCTTACCACTGGGCCGTTCAAAACCTTTGTTGGGATGTTTCTTGTTGTCCGAAGAAGAAGAAAACTGCCGAGGTTTATTTGAATAATATTGCTGTGAGTGTCCAAAGGTATTCCCCCCTTTCTTGCTTGCAACATTAGCAGAGGGAGATTAAATAGAAATAGCATGGCGAGCTAAGCGCTTCTCAAAGGTAAGAAGTAAACTCTACACATCTGGCATGGTCAAATCATCCAAATGAGTAGTAATTGTGATAACAAAAGTGTCATATTTTGGCAGCAAGCCACCAAGAAGATAATGAATAAGATCTGAATCTGATATAAAATAATTAGAAGCAGTAAGAGCATAAGAAATTCCTTTGATTTTCTAAATGTAATCCGCAACAGATAGGTCACCTTTTTTAATATGTGCTAACTCTAGCTTCAAATCATGAATCTTGGATTTGTTAGTGGAGGAAAATAAGCGGCTGAGCCGGTCCCATACTTCCTTAGAAGTTTTGCATCCTACGACTTGAGCAAGAACATGCTCTGTGAGAGAAGAAAGAAGCCAACTCAATATGAGTTGATCCTGTTCATACTAGGAGATGAATTCGGGGTTGATCTGTTGATCATTGGTGCCAGGAAGAAATTTTGATGGACATGGTAGTGATCCATCGACATATCCAATGAGTCGATACCCATTGAGTGCAGGGAGAATTTGCATAGACCATAAGAGATAGTTGTATCTATGTAGGCGAATTGTAATAATATTCATGAAATTGGACAGAGTAACCAATCCGTTATTTTTGGAAGAGGACTCACCTTGAGAGTTGATCAAAGAACTTTGAGCATATATGACATTAGTCTTCTAGGGCTTTGATACCATACGAGAGTCAATGAAAGTGGCGAATTCTCATTGAATAAATTTCAAAGATTACAGAGGTTTATATAGATGAAGATACAAAATTTAAAATTCAAAATTTAAATATACAGATAAGTTGATAAGTACAGTAGGATAATGGTTATCTGGGGTCGATAAGCCCACAGATAACTAGTTATTGTTGTTATCCAACTGATGATGTGGCCAGTGTGGATTTATCTCTAGCAGTATACCTGCTCATAGAGCTATTAGGCTGATCCAATGTGCACATTTCAATTTACACACGATGGATGCTTTTTTTCCTAACCCTACACCAGATTCTTATTCCCATGTCCATGTCCATACAATACCGTCTGATATAAGTCTAAAATCATGTAAAACGGGATTATTGAATCAGGAGTCTAGATCACCACAGACATAGTAGAGCCACTTGTTTAAAACTTGTTATGTGGAACTGTATCTGCTGCAACATTAAGCGAGCTGCAACAAATAAAATAATTTATTGGGAAGATCATGCTGTGAATGAAGTTTTGTTGGAAAATAGTAAAGAAGGCAGAATGAAACTTATCGGTAATCGCTTTCCAAATCAAGCACTTGCGAATCTGTAGCGTTGCAGAACTGTGAAACCGAGAACTTGTAGAGAGGAGGGTTGAGTCGTGCCACTTGGTCACTCTCCTTAAAACCGCATTCTCCCCCTACGGTGCAACCGGGTGATTGCAAATCGGTCGCCAAAAACAAAACGATTCGATGTAGTGCACGTATACATGCACACACACACACACACACATACACACACACACACACACACACTCCCATTGCATTCAAAGACGGCAATCGGTTCTTTCACTAGTGTTGATGGCCAAATTGACTCCTCTTTCGTACACATGACATGATTAGTGTTGTGTCACTTTCAAATTTTATGAACCTTATCTAAGTGCGACTAGATAGGAACAATTACCTTCTATGGTTAGCACAAATCATTCCCGCCTTGAAGGGTCACATACTTCTGGGCTACATTGATGGCTCGTTTCCTTGTCATCTAAGTTCCCAAAAGCATCTACTTCTATTGGTACAACAACTAGAAAAATGAATCCTAACTACTCATCTTGGCAAGAAAAAGATCAATTGATCTTGAGCTGGATTTTATCCTTTTTGACTGAGCCAGTACTTGCCCAAGTAATTGGATGTCATACTTCCAAGGATGTTTGGGATACTCTATATTGCCTATTCTCTTCCACAAGCAAAGCCTGAGTGCACGATCTTAAGCTGGAAATGGCACATGTTAAGAAAGGATAGCTTAGTACAACTAATTATATTCAAAAGTAGGGGTGGCCATGAGCCGGGCTTCTCACGAGCTATTCGAATCGAGCTCGAGCATGATACATAGGCTCATTTGCTAATCGAGTCGAGCTTGAGCCCAGTGAAGCTCGGTTCATGAGGCACATGAGCCTAGTATAATAAATCAATAATTTTTTATTAAATACACACATACATACATATACATATAAATATATAAAATAAATAATTTTTATTATATATGTAATAATATTTTTTATATAATGTTTTTATTTTTTATGTCTAATAGTAAATGATTTTTATAATTCTTATTTTTTGTATGTAAAATAAAAACACTTTTTTATATGCATATATATTTTTTATTTTTTATATATGTAATAATAAATAATTTTTATAATTCTTATTTTGTTGTATATAAAATAAAAAAATATTTTTAGATGTATAATTTTTATTTTTTTAGAAAAAACTTGGCTTATAGTCGAACTCGAACTTGTGAGCTTTGAACCGAGTCGAGCTCGGACTCAAATCTCTATCTCTAACTCGAGCTCGAGCCTAAGACTTTCAGCGAGACGAGCCCGAATAACCAAGTATTCGACTCGGCTCAACTCAAATCCACCCCTATTCCTAAGGTAAAGGGTTTAGCTAATTAGTTGGCTGCTTCTAATTTCTAATTACTCTATTCCTGATTCTTATCTCACACATTATATAATTGGAGGATTGCCTACTGATTATGATAACTTTGTCCTCTCTGTTACAACCTGTCTTGTTAATGATCTTACACTCACTGGTGTGCTTCTTCTAGCCTATGAGAAAAGACTAGAGAAGCATAGTATTGCTGAGATGGTTCCATCATCACCGTCTTTATTTTCCTCATTTAAGCCTGTGGGAGCTCCACCTGTTTTACATCCATGTACTACGCCCTCTGCTGGGCATGTACCTCTTATGTCCAACACCAATTCACTGAATGCTCCTATCTAACCGTTAGACTGGATTCCTCATTTGAGCCCACTGGCCCACCTCCTGCACCTATTGTTTCTTCTAATGGGCTACATATTGCTTCTATTGGGCCCACACCACTCTCATCATGTCACCCAATGATGACTCGGGCCAAACATGGAATTCGACGGCTTAATCCATAATATACTCTCATCATGAGCTCTTTACCTGAATCAGAACCGTCTTGCTACACTCATGCTTGTAAAGACCCTAGGTGGGTGTTAGCTATGGCTGATGAATTTCGTGCCTTACAAGAAAACAACACGTGGGCACTTGTGTTCCTATTACTCTAGGCAAAAACATTGTAGGTGCCAAATGGGTCTTTAAAATTAAGAGAAAACCTGAGATTCTGTTGAATGCTTCAAAGCGCATCTTGTAGCAAAAGGATACACCTAAGAGTGGGCCTTGATTATGATGAAATATTTAGCTTAATAGTGGAACCTACTACAATTCGCTTAGTTCTATCTCTTGTTGTCTCTTTCGATTGGGAGCTTCATCAATTGGATGTGAATAATACCTTTCTTAATGGCATCATCCATGAGGAAGTTTGCATGAAGCAACCTACAGGTTTTGTGGACCTACCTCATCCTGATTATGTTTGTAAGCTGAGTCACTCCTCTATGGGCTTAAGCAGGCCCCACGGGCCTAGTTTACATGCCTCTGTGACCACTTACTCTCCATGGGATTTTCTGAGTCCAAAGCTGACACCTCTCTTCTTTTTGCGGCGTGGTGCTAATCTTGTTCTCTTACTAGTTTATGTTGATGACATCTTGTTGACTAGGCCCAATCCCACTCTTATTATTACCCTTGTCTCTCAACTCTCCACACAGTTTGCTCTTAAAGATTTGGATGCTGCTCATTATTTTCTTGGCCTTGAACTCCACCGTTGCAAAGAAGGCATTCATGTTAATCAACACAAGTATATACATGATTTGCTTCATCAAACTTCTCTACATGAGGCCAAACCTATTGCTACACCCATGGCTGCCTCCACTAAGCTAGATGCTACCTCTGGTGAGGTCTTGACTGATCCAACACAGTTTCGTAGTGTTGTTGGGGCGTTGCAGTACGTTACCCTCACCCGTACTAATATATCCTTTTCAGTGAACAAGATATGTCAATTCCTTAAGAATCCTACTTTTGAACATTGGATTGCTGCCAAATGCATCCTTCGTTACCTAAAAGGCACAATTTCCCACAGTCTATCCTTCCAGCCCACCTCTCACTCATTGGTGGCATTTTCAGATGCTGATTGGGCAAACTGCCTTGTGGATTGGCATTCGCATAGTGGAGTATGTATGTTCCTTGTAGCTATGTATTGAGAATATTTCTCCATGAATAAGAACATATAAATATGGAGATGTTCCCAATGCGTGGCTGTAAAAGGCTGTGAAGACTGTTTGAGGGCAAAATCCAAATTTGGCCAATAGGCCTTTCCTCTCATTTCGGGCACTGAGGAGATGTAGCCTAGCAGAGAGTAGAGTATGTACGCTCCTCTTTACTGATTACAGCAGATTTGAAATTTCCATTAGATCATTCCCTCCAGTTCATCCAAATTGGTTTCATTTCTGAGACATCCTACACAAGGACTTCCAGGGTCTAGTGTTACATTGGCTGATTTGCCTATTTGATCAGATTTCCTTAAGGCTTCAGTTAAAAAATCATGAAGTTAACCACTAGGAAAGTAGGAATTGAACTTAAACAATTAACATTAGGGCTGTCAAAGATAACCAAACCAAACTGACCCAAATATATAGGGTTTGTATTGTTCTGATTATAAATGGGTTGGCTATAAGATTTGATATCATCTCCAGACCATGGTTCAAAATCTACTGTTTAATCATTTTGATAATCTTATCTTAATTTTTTTAGTCTGATAATTTGCAGATATGTTTGTTAAGATGAAATATTAACATTTTCTATTAAACAGAACTAACTCTAAGTATTTGACGTATCGGTGACCCTAAAAGCTACAACACTGACTGATAATTGTGATACTTTGAACTGGCTGTGGTTCGTTTTGGTTGTTCAGTTAGCATATTACAAATATACCCTCAGTTTAATACTTGTCTTTCTCATCATAACTTGTAATATTATCCTATTATCATGTCGAGATGTGTCAATTTGACACATTGTGGGTTTATTATCAAAATACAGGTTAAAAGTGGAGCTGTCAAATTTAATTTTATGGGTCGGACTTAATCGTCCTGACCACTAATTGAGTCAGTTATAACATGATTCGAGACTCTCTAACCAGACTCGATCCATGGACACCAGATTAGATTGAGATGATAAAGTCTTTAAGAGAAGTAGAGGACCCTAGAGTCTCTAGATAGGGCAGTAAATTCAGTCAGACCCAACCCAAACCCAATTAGCCCAGCCTGAGAAAATAGAGGTGGGCTGGGTTCTTAGTGACATTGACAGGATTTAGGGTCCATTTCGTTTGCAGGAATAAGGGTCTGGAATCAGAATTGGAATGGTTCATTCTGATTTCAATTGTTTGGTTGGGCAGAATCGGAATCTCATTTCTATTCTTGGTGGATTTTCGTTCTCCCATTTGAAGGAATGGCCATTCCCTCCCCTCCCCTGTGAATGAGAATCCATTCCAGTCAATTGTGATTTCAGTCTGAACCAAACAGGTGAGGGAAATGGACCATTTTGATTCTGATTGCGATTCCAACTGTGAACCAAATATATCCTAAGATTTTAGAGTTAAAGCTTAAAAGGAGTTGATAGGGTGGCACAAATGTATACCCCCACTATCACAAATTATGAAGTACACCCTCACTTAGGATGTGTTTGGTTTAAAGGAAAAAATAGGGAAAGAAAAGGAAAGGTAAGAAAATCTTTACAAACCTTGTATAGTTTTTTCTACGTTTCCCTTTCTTTTTCTACCTTTTCCTTCAAACCAAACCTAACCTTAGGGAGATGTTAGATGGACACCCCTGGCAAGTGCAATGAAGGTCACCAACCCACCAAACCCATGGACCTTCTTGATCACTGTATGCATATTTTTTTCTTGTTTTCTCTTCTTTTTATGCCTCCCTTTCTTCCTTGTCTCTTTCTTACCTAACCAATGTAGGGCTAGAAGCAGGAAAAGTCTTCACCAATTAACTTCTCATATGTCCTTCAAGCCGTGATTGGTTTGACAGAAAACGAGAGATAAATAGAAAATTGAGGGAAAGTTGAAAGAATTTTTGTAAAACTTCTTAACAACTTTTTCCCTCAATTTTCTGTTTCTCCATTATTTTCTATGTTATTTTCTATCAAACCAAATGTAGCCTCACAGATCACATTGAAACAGAGATATGGGCAAAACCAACTTTATTTAAATTTCAATTAAAGGAGAGTTGATTGGGGATTGCAAATTCAAAAATTGTATTATCTAACATGGGGAAGGGAAGGGGAATACCAAATCACCCCCCTTTACTATTACAAAGTTTCGTTAAAAAGCATTGGGCTAAAATTTAAATTTCTTTAGCTGGAGCAATAAATTATTGACCATTGTAAAATTTCAAGGTACAATAGACCTTTTCTCCACCATCCAAATGATGTTAAGTTACTCAATTGTATTTGAGCAATCTGGTCAAATGTAGGTCCTATATTGGGCGCATATTATAAACTGAAGCTAATTGAAATATGAAGTAGGTAATATGACCCTTCAAAAAAAAAAAAAAAAAAAAAAACTAGATCTAGGCCCACAAACTCCTCATATGGTGTACAAACTATAAATGAATCATGATCCATATTCAAGAGGTCACTCAGTGGATCTGGTTGACCCAAGGTTCAACTCTATACTGTATCAATATTTAACATTAATAATGGGCCAGATGTGGTTTTGGGTGTGAGATCCGTTTGGATCCTGCATTCATGAAATATAGGTCCCGTTTGGTTTACAGGAAAAAGGGTTTAGAATTGGAATAGGAATTGGAATGGGTTATTCTGATCAATTCTCATTTTCATTCTTGTTGTCTGAACAAGGGGGGTCCAACTTCAAGGGAGTTCTGCAACCACAATCGTTGCGGAATTGAACTCACTCTGCACTCCGTACTGCATTCAACGATGCCAATGTATTAACAACATGAGTTGCCCTGTCTTGACTCCCTAACCACTAGACAGTGGTCCACCTTTTTGTTTTTTTTGGTATTAGACAAGTTACCCACTTGCCCACTACAAAGAAATAGATGAGGAAGGGAGCCATAAATAACAGCCGTTGAAATCAATCAAGAGGGAGGAATCAGAGAATAGGAGAATAGAACCATTGGATTCCTGAGTCAACATACAACATGCAAAAGTGGGAGGGCAGAGGGTCTTGATTGTCAATAAAATACAAGAAAGCTTTATTCGTATGAAGAATGAAGATTGCACAACATGATAATCTCTGATAAAATAATAAGTTTTATCTTGAATGGTTTGATTTAATAGAACCGTGCTTTCTTCACCTGAGCTTAAAATCTAATAATCTAATTCAGAACATGGTCTTACAAAGAACCTAAAATCTACCTTTGTAGGAACCAGTTCAGGTTTTTAAAACCAAAACCTATCCTGTGCGGTTCTGAAGCCGGTTTTAGTCTTGAAGGTTCCAAAGTCAATTTAGGGTCTACCTATTCTCCTAAAAAAATGAAACATGTCATTTAAAATATTAATATGTAACTTATCATTAATTAAAAAAATATAATTTAAAATTTATACTATCTTTATTAATTAAATTGAGTAATTTAATATGTAACTTATCATTAAAATATTAATATATGGTTAACAATTGTCATTATAATTTAAATTTTACAAATATTACTTTTTATATTATTCATCGTATACATTCAAATATCAAAATGAACTTAATGATAAAATGAACCATACCAAGGCCAATCAAAATCGATTCAGGTAAGGTAAACCCCTAAACCCATCTGGAACCTGATGAAAGTTAGTTCCAAGAATTACCCTGTAACAGATTGGATAAAATCGATTCAAAGTCGATTCCATTGAGATACATAAGAAATGTTAAGGTCTCAGAATGAGGTTTATGTCAATGCCACAAGTGTAGTGAGGTGTCTGCAGTCTGCCTCGTCAATTTTCGTCTTAAACCAAGATATCATGTAATTAGTGAAGCATACTAAACACTCCACACTTTTTCTCTCAATTTTGTTTTTCACAGTAGGAAAGCTCGTTTGCCCCAATTTTGTTTCACAGTAGAAAGCTCAAAACATAAACTTATCCAAACAAGGCCTAAGTTTGAAGGGTGTGTTTTACAGGAGTAGCTTATTCACATGAATGGGCTTAACAGAAGAGGTGTCATCCAATCAGATTTCTTACATCTTAGCCTAGAAGGTAGAAATCACTTCTTGGCAAAGAACTTTGCGACCTCATCAAGCAAAGTCAGGAAGGTTTTTCTGACATCTTAAATCCCAAGTTGTAGCAGTGGTTATATCAGATTTTGATTGCTCAACCACTTGACTTGATGTGTTCAAGATTTGAAGCACAAAGGCCAAATCATGCAAGAACCCAGGGAATTGATAAGAATTGTTGGTTAATGAAAAAGAAAGGCAAAGCAGAGGTACAGCCAATTGAAGTCTCTACTCACTCGCCACTCAATGAGAAAAGGGCAAAGGTGACACAACGGTAGCAGTTGAGGTAAAATGGAAATACAGAAGAGAAATTGTTTTTCGGCAGCCCACTACTTTACGTGGGGAAGTTACTAAGAATGATATTAAAAAACTTCCTCTGGAGTACTTTGAGTAAATGGGATTTGCCGAGGTCCACTCAGTGTGCAGCATCTTCTTCTTCACAGAACTTGGTATAGCGCTCTGAGTCCATCAAGGTGTTCACTTCACCAGCATCCTGGATCTCCACCTTTATGATCCACCCATTTTCATATGGGCTCGCATTAACCTGAATAAAGAAACGGATTTCAAAATTATTGATATAAAACATCAATCTGTCCATGAGTACTGCCCCTTTGAATCCTTTTTTTTTGGGTTAAATCAGGAAACATCAACCTGTCCTTAAGATAATGACAAAATTACAGTCTAATGAGAACAATGTTTTGCTTATTAAAGACTAGTCACAAGTTAACATTGCTCAGTTTAAAAGTAAAACCAATGCAGTTGGTATTTTAATGGTCTACATTCGTCACACTTGATACAGCTTGTTAGCAAATCTTATATAATTTTCTAACAATATAACAAAGCCAGTGACCCTGATCTTCTATTAACATCACTCGAGCAAAACAGGGGCCTGTCTCTCAGATCTAACATGCAAAACTTTTCTTTTTGAAGAACACAAAAAGGTTTTCTCAAATAAAGAAGAGGTCAAAAGGCTAATACGTAAATTATCAAACAGATAATGCAAAATTCATTAAATGGTCAACATAAAAGGCTTATGAAATTTTGAAAACATGCCATCTTCAAGTAAAATTATGACAAAGAACCTGCTCAATGAGAGACAAGCTCAAAATCTAGGAGATCAACTTCGCTACATAATGAGGTATTTATCACAATATTATAATGCAATCTAATAGAACATTAGATAACTTACCAAACCTGGGGAACTGTTGAGCTCTTCGTTAACTTCTATTACTTTCCCTGAAACGGGAGAGTTAACATCACTAGTTGCCTTGACACTCTCAACTGCACCAAAACCATTTCCCTGTGTTACAGAGGCCCCCACTTCAGGCAATTCAACATATACAACATCGCCTAAATGGTCCTGAGCATGGTCAGTTATTCCTACTGTAGCTGAAGTACCATCAACTTTGACCCATTCATGGGTGTCAGAATACTTCAGATCCTTCACAACTGCAATGGTTGAAAAAAAATGAAAAAGAACAGCCTTGATAAGAAGATCAGACAACCCCTCTTTTACAAAATATTGAATTAAGAGGAAAAACACTTGACATTATGGTACAGATGCTATATATGATATACTCACACAAATCCATCAATCTGCCCCACCAAATGAAGAGACAATATTGTCATTAGAGGATATCAGGTGGATTCAGAGATTATAGAATTATAACTCCCCTTCCAAAGAAGGGTAATGAGAAGAAAAGCTTTGATTTAATATTTGGGATTTCTACTTTGAGCCACCATGACCGTCATCTCTAAAGCAAGAGAGTACAACATATATCTCCTGAAGTCCTGCTACATGTAACAAAAGGACAGCCCAGTGCACAAGGCTCCTGCCAATGCAGGGTCTGGGGAGGGACAGATGTACACGGCCTTACCTCTGCACATGCGCAGCTAAATATGATGGGCATCAGGCTCCAATGCTCCACAAAATCACATGCCACCATACATTCTTCTACTTAAGTCACAACTACAATTTTTTTTAGCTTATTTTCTTAACCTTTTTGTGGCATATATCTAGATTGTGCTACTTTAATGCCTCTTAGACAGTAAACACAAGAAAAGATACTCTTTTCGTTACTCTCTTTTCTTTCTTTTCAATATTACCACCATTAACAGAGGATAAATATACAAAGTGACACATTAGAATCCCAAGTAAGAACTTAAGAAGTCATTCATTTTAGACATGAGATCCTAGATTAGTAATTAAAAATAACTTTCCTTTTTCTCCTGCCACAACGAGAACTGGTTTCGATTGAATCCAAACTATCCATCCAAATGATACAGCACTCTTGGACTTTCGAAATGTAGGGTTTCCTAAATCCTAATCCATAGCAATCCTATACACATAACTTATAGGAGTACTCACAGCTGGCAGGAACTGCAAGATTTAAATGAAGATTAAGGAGAAAAGGGGCTCTTTTTTCAATGTTTAAGTCTGAAAGAGGGTTTTTTACATACACTTGGCAGGCCAAGAGGATTGAAGTGTATTTTATTGCATGTAAAATGGCTGTGGAAAACAAACAATTTCCAAAATGTGAGTACCAACTGTAAGAAATGGCATTTCTTCTAATTTTCTATGAGTCATTCTCTGGGAAGTGGTCGATCCCCCCGATTCATATGATCATTTCTGGCGACACTTGTACATTTCTCAACTGTTAGGTTTATTTTCTAAGTGAAACACCAATAAAGTTAGAAATTTGATTCGTTTTTCCTATTTAATATCTTGTGCCAAGGAAATTATTTCTTACTCTTGTAAATGCTACATTTAAGAAAAATAATGTTTGAAGAGATACAAGTGAATAATTAACCATCGTATATGGGGAACCACTCGTTGGTAATCGAAATCACGGGAAACTAAGGCATGGAACCAGATAAACAACAGCTACAAAAGCGATCGAGGTCTGCTTGATATCTAAAATGTACACATGAACTAAAGCAACCGTGTGCACCAACTGAAGTTTCAGAATATCACCTGAGTTGAAGAAAATGAAGATAGAAGCAAGAAAATAGATAACTACAAAACTCTCTAAGCATAAAGCTCCATAGCTTTATGATCCAACCAACCCCACAAATTGTGTTGTTTGGTTATAAAGTAAATAGTTTATGATGCTGCAGCATTCAATTTCTCTTGATATTAATCACTGAACTGTATAAACTGATTGGCATATTAACCCTACTATGAACAAGAATTCATTAAAGATCAAGTTTCAGGAAGCGCAGACAGTTGTACAGGAGGAAGACCCTATTGAATACATACAAACAGACACCCAAAATAACCCTCATCAACAGAAACAACCGAAAACCTAAATTCAAAGCAATAATAATACTAATATCTCGTATCTGCTCGGATCAACACGAAAATTTGAATTGCAGAAAATGCTAGAGCAAACTAAACTCAACCCATTTCAAAAAAGTAGATTTTTTGAAGAGAAAAGCATAGATCTAGCATTCTAACAAGTTCATAAAGGAGATCTAAATATGCACGCATGTCCTTTTCCCCTCTGCTCTTTACACCTCCATTTGATCTTTCCAAAAGTAAGCATACAAGAGGCAAATCTTGGGAGACGAAAAGGGAAAGCAAAATAGGAATTCAGTTTACCAGAAGCAAAGCCTCTGTGACGTACAGAGACCCTGAGATAAGAAGCAGCCCTTGAAGCCCACAATCTCGACGCCATTAGAATCGAAAATTTGCTCTCTCCCTCTCTCTCTCTCTGGTCTCTACTGCTCTGCTTAATGAATAGAGTGGAGATCCCCTAATTTACGGCTTATATTAATCGGAAAAAGAAGAAAATCTGGCACGTGGAACAATGCCGACACGAGACGTGTTAGGTTTCATAGGACGATGGCGTGGGACCCAATAAATGGTTCCCACGTGGGAAATTAGAGCGGCGATTATCCTTCACCGTCCGATCTTAGGATCTGGATGAAAATTCGCACCGTCAAAATCATCTGATCTGGAACTTCGAAGTACGAACCAAGGGTGGATCTTCCTGAGTGGACCCACAGAGTTGTTGATACTTGATACAGTCGAAGAGACACGTTGCAAGAGAAAATTGTAGAGCTTGACACGAGGTGGCGAGCCAGACTTCGGCGCTGTCGCAATCCATCGGAAAATAACCCATCAACCCGCTTTTGGAGAAAAGAAAAGAAAAAAAAACCCACCCACCAACCCACCAACCCAAAAGTTGGTGGGTTTGTTATGTTATGTTATTCATTTCCAGACTCAGGTCCCTCCTGGCCTTTGTCCTGGACCTCATGGTGTGTGTCTGACTGTCTGTCACGTGCACGCACGTGACTTCCACATGCGACAAATATTCTTACCGCCTTGTGATCTGTGAACTTGGGTAAGCATGCAAAGAATATTTGTCGGGTAGCGGTTGTTTACTCTACACCCGATGTGAAGTCCGACCAAATGTACCTTTTTCCGATCGGGTCGGACCCTTGCCAAGCCGAACCGATCCCAGCCGTTGTTTTGATTTCCCTTTTCATCCATAGTTGCATTTTCTTTTGATATATGAGACAGCCGGACGAGACACCGCCTGGATTTTCTACGTTCTACCGTTCTAAGTCCGGGGTTGTGGGCCTTGTGGCCCATGAGATAGACGTCAACGGGTTAGGTTTCGTATGGATTTTTTCTTAATCCGAACCCAACCTGAACTCATACCAACTACAACTAGAACCTCATCAAACAAAATGAGATTACCCAACCTAACCCGTCCGCCATCCCCAAAAGTGCCCTTATGCTAAGCTAATGCTATATTCTACAACTGGTTCTACAGTGCAGGGATGTCAGTGGTCGGGCCAAGTGGTAAAACTCGCATCGACCCGACACCATAAGATTCGGGTCGGGTCAGCTGCGATCGGGTTGATGGTGCTGAACATACCAATTGATAACTACATCATTAAAATATTTGAAAATATAAGCTTGGGTGAGTATAGCTGGATGTTATATTATGGCAATAACCGATTCAGAAACAAAACTTTTTTGGCCATGGGTCAGCAGATCAATCATTCAGTTTAAATGGATTGCCCGTTCTAATTTAAAATAAAAAATAAATAAAAATAGTCAATAATCCTTATTTGAGTTAAACGGGTCAACAGTTTGATCACCCGAATTAATAAGTCACTGATCAAGTCAACAGTTTTTTATAAAATTAATTGCCTAAACGGTTTTTAGGCCAAACAATCTAACTGTTTGGATTAATAACAGTTTAAAAACCATGGTCTATAAGATGGATTGGGTTGGATTTAATGACCCCGTTTATATAACTAGGTCAGGTTAGGTTTGGGTTGAGAATTTGAGATACCCAAGCCTGATTAAGACCGACTCTACCATAATCTATTACCAAAAAAAAAAAAAAAATTCTATCATAATCTTATAAGAGTTAAGGCTATGTTTGGTTGGAAGGAAAAAGTAGCCTTTCTCTTCCTTTCCCTATTTTTTCTTTCAAACCAAACATAACCTAAAGGCAAATTTACCACCTAACTCTCTTATAAGAGTTAAGGCTACATTTGGTTTGAAGGAAAAAGTAGCCTTTCCCTTGCTTTCCCTATTTTTTTCCTTCAAACAAAACATAACCTAAAGGCAAGTTTACCACCTAACTCGACCCACTAATATCCTAGGAGCAGGTATCTCTTCACCAAACATGAAGATGGTGAAAGCTGAGAGATCCTTTTCTTTAATGCCTAAAATACCCTCAACTACTTACCTGTATTGGTCTAACGGTGATAATAGATGGGTTAGCCCTAACAAATGATATCAGAGCCATTTTATGTAAGATCAGACCCAGTTTAGACCACACATTAGACCTGAAATTTGGGCCATAGTAACAATACCCCATCCCCACTAACCTATCCAGAGAAGGCTCGTTTGTTGGGTTGCCCAGGACTCAATGGGTCGGGTCTAGTCAATAGAACCAAACCAATCAAATCAATTATGTCGGTTCCAGTTCTATAGTTTTTCTTCAGAGAAGTACAGACAGGCCCAATGCAGATTTCTGATTTTCACTGCATAGCTATAAACATTCCAAAGGTCAAAAACCCCCACTCTACACACCAATGCCTGCCCGTGAATTGGCATCAATTCTGAGCTGGCATCCACCCCAACTGTACTTTGAGCCTACAAATTCTGACCTTGGGCTGATCGGTTATTCTCCCATTTTTTTTACCCGATTAATAATTGGGTCAGGATCAGTTCTTGTTCCAAACTGTGCCATGTAGGCATTACATCAGAGAAAACGATGCTGGAAGCAACACCCTCTTGTTTGGTACCGTTTTCTCAGGAAAAAAGCGTTGCTCCAGACCATACCTTAAAAATCGGAAAAGTGTGGTCTGGAGCAACACCAAATTTGATGATTTCTTGGAAAATGATGCATTGCTGCCAACGATGCAATAACATGACATCAATGTGGCATCATCTTGAATGTTGTATAATAAGATCAATGTTGAAAACATTGCTGCCAGCATTGGTACAAAAAAAAAAAAAAACTTGTGCTGTTTTCTCAAAAAACGCCTATGTGGCAGCACCGGTTCCAAATAAAAATAAGCTTATAACTCCACATGCCCAATACCGTTTTTCTTAGAAAACAATATACTGTTCCGAGCACCGATGCCAAACGCCTATTATATAAGCGTCTCCTTTTTTTTGTAATTTTTGTAATATTTTATATTCATAAAGGTAAGTTTCATAGATTGTATATAAGATAATTTGGATTAAAATATTTCTTTTATCAATATATTTATATAAAGTTTTAAGTATAATTGGGTCAGACCTAATTGTCCTGATTAAAAAATATGGGATGGTTTTGGGTTTGTCATGTTGAACCGATTAATAATTGTTTCGTTCCAAATCAGATCCGACCCATTGACAGTTCTATCAAAATTGAAGTATTTTAACCACATTGGGCTCAGATTTGGATTCGGACCCATTGCCAGTTGTTAATTATTTTAGCCTCATTAGCTTGTTAAACCAGTACCATTGAATTCCCCTACTCTAGTAGTCTAGTAGACAACTCTGTATAAGTGCACCGACAGGGTTATTTTTGTCAATGCAAGAGATTACACAAATGACTAAAACACCCCTGCACATTTATTGATTAGTGTCCTAGTGGGACCTGAAGTCTTGAATGGCATTAGGTGACTATGTGCTAGTGGAGCTTAGTGGAGCTGGAACCCTCTAGCCCTCTACTTAAGTGAGGTTAATATTTAAAATCCATGGGCCCACACAAGGGAATCTTCAAAATCAGACGTCAATGAAAAGATCATGTGGTTTTGGTACAGAAGGGCCCACATAAATCAGTGGTCCTAAGAATAGTTTTCCACATTCAGGGAATCTCCCAAGAGGGAATACTTTGTTTGGAAGTTCTCACTTCCTACATGGACCACGGTACACTGAGGAGTTGTCTTATAAAAGCTGGAGTAGCTTAACTGAATGATTTATTAATTTGTCTAGGCTGTGTTTGGTAATACACAAATGCATGGTAGTGCAAATGTAAAAAATGCAAATTCTTGTTTAATTTTATTTTGGATTTTACATTATTCTGTTTCACGTCTTAATTTACTTACTTGTACTGTAATCAAACAAAATAAGCTAAAATTTGAAATAAAAATAAGTCAGAATTTATACTCAAATCATTTGCACTGCCATAATTTTGCATCAGTGCAAATTTATTTGCATTGCAACCAAACACAGTCTTAGCTGTTTTTTGGTTTGAAAGAAAAGTTAGGGAAAATATTTAGCTATTAACGACCTCACATTGGAAATATCTTCTATACATAATGTGTGAATATCATGGGGGGGAGGGAGACATTCCCAATGTGCGACTGGTTTCTCATGCTTTCACAGTGTGTGCAGAGTTTTTGGTTGCATAGAATCCCATCCCACTTGGGGATGTTCCACAGCATGATCAGTTTTGTTTTTGAAAACAAAATCAAGTGCCACATCAGCGAAAACAATATAATTTTGCTGATACGTAAGTTGTTTTTATTTTGAAAAATAAAACCAAATTCAGCCATTATCAGATGACCCATGGGTAGGGCTGTAATTGGCTCAGATTTAAATTGGATTTAGCTGGATACATTTGGATTCAAATTTAATCCGAGTCCGAGTTATTATGCCTAAAATAAAAAGAAAATTAAAAGGTTTTAAAAAATTATTTACTTTTTAATTTATGCTTATACAAATTTTATATAATTATATAGTGTCCAATAATAATAATAATAATAATAATAATTATTATTATTATTATTTAACCGGAATCATATTATTGGATGCAAGTTTTAACATTCAAATCCACATGCTGAACTGGTATTGGGTATTGGAATTTCGAAGTCCATTCACAGCCCTACCTATTGAAATGGTGATCAACTCAACATGGACCTTTTTGATTTCTTCCATTTATAAGCTCAAAATCCTTGTGATAAGAAAATCATGAACCATTCACATGATTCATATATATATATATATATATTTATTTTTTTGTATTTTATATTTATACTTTATTTGTTTATGATATCAAATATCGACTGGAACTGTGAGGTGGTGGTGTTTATGGTTTGACGCCTAACTTGGTTTTAGGAACATTGACTGAAAACTAGGAGTGCAACTTAGGCTGGCTTGGCCAGAACCAACCTGAGCCCAACATGAAAAGGTCAGGTTGGATTGGATCGGGTTGAACTTTGGGTTAGGGTTAAAAAATATGAACCCAATTTAACTTTGGTTGGGTTAGGGTTGAGGCCTTTGCCAACAGGAACCTGACACGTCTTCATATTTATTTGTATAAATATCATATAAATGTGGTTATGTATATGCAGCATTAATGAATACATGTGTTTGTATAAATGTATCAACTATTTTAAGTTTGAATAAAAAACTTTCTAGTATGATATGGTCAAGTATGGTAGTCCTAAGAAATAAGAACATTTTAGCAGAATGAATTGAATAAACAGGGCCAACCCCAGAATAACCCAACCTGAAACTTTCAAGGTGTTTGGTATGGCTTCCGATTATTTGATAAATGGTGTCATGTCATCGCCATGTGGGCATTTATCATGCTATTTCATACGCCTATTTATCTTATAAATGTTTGTCTTATCTTACGTGCAAACCAACCGTTGGGAGAAGCTTCAATTTAACGTTTCCCCCAACACAAAGGTGTTTATTTACTGTTCTGCTTATGTGGTGCCTAATGGCATCTAGCTGTCAACAAATACCAGAAAAATGTTTATCAACCACTTTTTCTCAGTTTTGAAGATAAATCAAGTACAAACGTTTATTTAATAAACGGAAGCCATACCAAACATATACTTTATCTTTCTACTCTTCTTGCTCTATTAATTGGCTTCATAAAAGCATATAGCCATGTACTGGTTACTTGATGCAGAAGGAAATGCATGGATAACATGAATTCATTTCTTTAGGTGCATATGTAGTGGGGGTTGCTTATGGATCAATGACATACCTGTTTCAGTATCATAAAGGAGAAATCAGGAATCTTCAAACAGGCAACACTGTCCTCATATCCTTGTGCATTGTTCTGATTACAGTGGTAACTTGTTCAATCTGGTCCTCACTTGAACATGCTGAAAGGAGAACCTTGGCGGTTCCTCCATCTGGATAGCAACCGGAATCAATCATTTCTTCAAAGATTTTTATGCATTTTGTGTATAGCTTCTTTCTAGAGTAGGCCCCCATCCTAGAAGTCCATGTCACAACATCAGGTTTTAAATTTTTGGAGGGAAGTGATTCGAACAGATCCTCCATTTTGTCCAAAAATCCTGCCCGGCCATATATATTGATAAGGATGTTATATGTGCTGATATCAGCTTCATATGGGCCGTTCTCCATTGCACTTAGAACTTCTTCCATTTTCTTGAATTGCCCCATCCTTCCGTAAGTGTTGAGCATACTGTTCAATACAAAGGTGTCTGGTCTTAGACCAGATTTATGCATCTGGTTTACAATTTCCTCACATTTTTCCACATTGCCAGTTTTTGAGTAGGCTGATAAGAGAAGCATGTGGGATTTCATTGTTGGAGTCATCCCCAGGCGCTTTAGTTCTTCAAATACGGCCTGTGCATCTAAAACAGAAAGGGAGTACTTAAGAGAGTGAAAAGTGGGTTGGAATGGGGGTAATCAATGGGAGACAATTTTTTATAATATGAGAAAAGATATTTTAGATGGTATTCATAGTTTTAAAAGGTTTAAGCCTTGAGGCAATGCACATAAAAGTTGCCTCAAGGCTTAAGCCTCAGGCAAGGTCCAAAATATCATTATCATGAAGAGTATTCGAAAAGCAATTTTGAAAGATGTATCGGGATATGCTTAGGAACACATGGATAAAGTGGAAAAATGATGATACACATCGATAACACTAAATCAAGGCTTGAATGACAGGCAGAAGAATAAAAATATGTATGTATACCTTAGGTAACCAATATAAATGTCATAATGCAAGGTTTACATACATGACAAGGTTTTTGGGCCTAGATATTTTCCATGAATAAAGGGGATGAGGAGGAACGGAGACCCCCTTTTAAACTCCAAGCTAATTAACTTACCACATGGAAGATTCTTAGGTTGTTTAGTTAAGCTCACCAAATGACTTGAGTAGCAAACCCATTCTCAATTAATATTATTGTTGTCACTACTACAATTAGTAGTATAAATGTTGTACTAAATAATGGTTCTTAATACTAGTAATGAGAATCATTACAGAGTTATGAGTGGTGCATGTAGAAGCTCTACATATTGCACCCCATGTTTTGAAAAAAGTGGGACCCGCTGGCTGCTACTAAATAAACTACTAATAATGTTAGGCTGTGACATGACAACCTGAACAGCTTCACAATGATTTCCAATGCCAATATTAGCAACTATTGCTTGCTATTGTAGAAGGGCTATTATTGTAGTTGCTGTTATTTTTATTTTGTTATTACTTTTATTGTTATTATTATTAGTAGTAGAGGAGTTCATGTTATAACTTGTTTAGTTTATTTTTAATTTAATTTTTGGTACAGTATCTAACAGAATGGAGTCTAAGTGTACTGTACATTTAAGTTGGTTGGTTAGCTTCTCACAAAAGTTAGTCAACTGGATATGTGCCACATTGTGTGAAAAGATGTGGTTGTAAGGCTTGAAACGCTTTAACAGTAGGGCATTCTGTACTTTAGATACTATTCCATGCACAGAATTGTTTTGCAATGTGGTGCTTGAAGGGCTTTAAAGAAGCATTTTTGGCTTGTAAGCATAAACTGATTTATGGTTGGAAGGATTAATCCTGTATGGTATAAATACTTGATTCTTTGTTGTAAGCAATAACTGATTTATCCAAATTTACCTTCATGAAGACCAGCTCTCCCATATGCATCTACCATAATGTTATATGAAGCTCTATCAGGTTCACATCCCATGTGCTGCATGAGAGAGAATATCTCAGCCGCTCCATATGGAAAACCTGCACGGCTGCTTGATGGGGGAAAAGTTAGGAGCTTAACTAGACATGCTATTTGGAAAGAATCTTCATTGGTATGAAAGCATTGAATGAATGCTATTAACCTGTAAGCTTCCATGAGGGCATTATAAGTATACACATCAGGCTCATGTCCAACTTCTTGCAACTCTTCAAATACTTCTTCTGCTTTCTCACATAGTCCTTCCCTTGCAAATGCATTTATGAGAGCAGTGTATGTGCAAATATTAGGCTTGCACTTTTGATTCTTCATTTCGCGGAAAATTTTTAGGGCCATATGAGATTTACTTGCCTGAATAACAATATGAAATCTAATTCTCAGTTAGGCAGGACATAAACTGGAAGAAAAGAAAACATGGTATAATAAAACAAAGGAAACACCCCCACCTTTCCATATAAGTTAATCAACATTGTGTATGTTTCCGTAGATGGCTGGCAGTTATCTCTTTTCATCCTCTCAAAAATATCCAGTGCCTTTTGAGTGTTTCTTCCCTTCATTAACCCATCAATATAAGCATTGTATACAACAACACCTGAGTAAAATCAAGGTTCTAATTGGGTAAATTCAAGATCGGCCAATGTTATATTGATGTTAAGTTTCATAGTTATAAGAAATGGATCATAATCATAATACATGCATGGGTTCATCATTCATTAAGTACGGAGAATGGTGAGGCATTGCTGGTGCATGAAACAAAATACCATATTTGTATTTGTTTTCATTTTAAAAAATGATCAGTAAGAATTTAATCCATGTAAAATTTACAAAGGTAAAAAAAGCATTTGCATTTTGCCTTGTACTTCAACAGAAAAACAAAACAACTTTTGAGTTGAATGAATACGCTTATCTGGGAAAACCAGTTTATCAAAACCACTACCTTAGGAGAATAAACTTATCTGGGAACGCTTGATTATGAATGAAATCCAGTTTATCAAAGTTATAATTAATTGAAGTTTGTGTTCCAGTTGGATCAAGATCAAGAAATTACAAATATAGTAGTAGCATACTTGGAGGAACACCATATTTTCGCATCTCAGCAAAGATAGCCTCAGCCTTCTCTATAAACCCAGATATGCTGTAGGCCCGAATAAGAAGAGCATAAGTATCCTCCGTAGGAACACATCGGGCTTGTAATAGTCCTAAGTAAGCAGATTCTGCCTTCTTATATTGGAATTTCTGCCCATAAGCATCTATGAGTAAATTGTAGCACATGACATCAGCCTGGAAGGAGCTTCTATGCAAAATCCACTCGCATACCTGGAACATTCATGATGTACCATTTATTTAGATACTCCAAGAAATAATATCAGATCACCTTCTCAAAGATAAAATAGAATGAGACAATCTTTGTGGATCAACAGAAGGGCAAGACTTGGTTCTTCCTAGATTATATTTTCTTGCATTGATGTTTACTAGATGAAAGTTTCTTTGTTATTACATCTAAGTCAAGAATTGGGTGACCTTGGTCAGTGGATAGTTGTTGTCTATGATGCCCTGATACACATACCAACATGGAAACGAATATGATAAAGACGGATACAACTCTCCATTGCCCAAAATTCTGGAAAGGAAATGGGTTTGGATGCTCTCTATATCATGCTTTTATGTCTAGTTTTGAAGCTGTCATTCTTGAGACCAATGTCTTGCCAAATCTGTTTAAACTTCTAACATATACAGATATTTTTTATAGTATAATCTGTTAAAAAAAATTTTAGCTACTTCAAAAGTGTTAATGCTGTAGAGTACATCTAAAGTTTCCAGCAAGTACTCAGTGTCTAATACCAATACACTAAACATGTACGAGCATGCAGGTAATAAAGGTTATGGCTCATCAGTGGCAGACCTGTCAAATTGAATGCATCAATGAGATACAAAAGATTTTGAATGGAGTTCAAAATATATCTCATAAACAAACAATCAACCTAGCTGGCTGATAACCATCTGACCTGTAGAATTTTTCTAGATGTTTGCCATACTTTGCTGACTGTAAAAAAAAAAAAAAAATCTGATCACTGGGGTTACAGAAACATAACCCACAATAGTTCTCCCTATTGCATTAGAACCATATGCATGGATATGCCTTTGCTACACCACATTTGACGGGAACCTTACACTTTGATTTAGTATGTAGAGATTCATAGCCTCATGCTTCTTTTACATGCTGGCAATGTCCTCAAAAAACAAACAGTGTCTAGGAAATCATACTTGGTGGCAGGTTTGTGCTACATAGGAAATTCTACATGTATGGAAGTGGATTTTTTTTCTTACCAACACAATAGGATCCCATTGTTTACTGAGGCGAAGTTGAACGACTATGTTAATGAGATCATCCCATGTGGAGTGAGTAGGAGGAAGAATATCCAGAGAACCCCAAATTGTGTTAGCATCAGTTTCCTTCTGTATGCAGTCCAGAAGCTGCTGAGCAGTGGGGCTCATCACAGGGAAAACACCATCTATAAATCCAGAGCCATACTTCCATCCTCGTCCCCTTAAAGAACCACCTATATAGGAATAGAATCAATAGATATTCAAGTTGTAAAATGGATCACTGAACAGATTGGAATGGTGGAGCAGGATTCATATAGTTGAATAAGTACTTACCCTTTTTCCTTGAAAGCCTTTTGGGATTAATGCTTCTCCATACCCCACGCTTATCAAGAAAAAGATTGTCATGCTTGTGTTTATCAACAGGTTGAACTTGAGACTTCTTGGAACTCCATCTAAAATTACTCTTACAATCAAAGAGGGCAAGCCTGGATCTCGGTTCTAAAAAGGGGTGACTGGATGTGCATTCAATCATCAACCTTCAATAACAAAAAATAAAAAAGTTAATTACATAGATCCCTTTGTTTCTTGAAACTCCAAAACTTAAGCTCCATTGCTCCCCAACACAAGATAAAAATTATTTGTTGTTTTACCAAGTGAAGAGTAAATAAATATATCATACCTTCCGCTAGCTTTTAATAATTTATAAAAAAGGTTCCGATACACTAACTCTACTAGACTAGAAAGTATAAAAACATTCAACTACACTCAACTAATGTAAGTTTCACACATGCTTGGAACAATGGTAAAATCTCCAGCTAGCAAGCATGGGAATGCAAGTTCAAATCTGACAACAGCCACTTCATGCAAGATAATGCTGAAAGTAAGGTCTGTATCCAGTCCACCCCTCCCAAGGCCCGGATATCTGGGACCAACATTGAGTAAGTAATGCCATTTTATGAATAAATTTCAAATTCTATGATGTTCTTTTTTGCAGGCCTTTCTGTCTTATTTTCTGGATCAGAAATTAACAGAGGTAAATATACAGATGGGCAGAAAATCACCAAAATTATCTGCAGCATCATCCTTTTTAAGCTGAGAAGTTAATTTCCTAGTGAGTTTAAATGCAATGTACGACAAGAATATCTTCACTAACCTTCCACAATCTGAGAGATAATTCATCCACACTATGTGAAATAAAAGTTGAAAAGGGTCCTTCTTTAACAGATGTCCCAATCTTTGGTTAAATTATTAGTTAATCTTAGAAACAACATACCGAAACAGTTGGAAGGCCAGCTATGTTGTATGGATCAGAATGTTGGGCAGTCAAGAAACATGTCCAAAAAATGAGTATAGAGAATATGTATTTGCTGAGGGAAAAACTAGAAAGGATAGGGTCAGAAATGAAGTCATTTGAAAGAACCTAGGAGTAGGTCTAATAGGTGATAAAATGAGAGAAAGTAGACTAAGATGGCTTGGTCACGTGCATGGAGGACCACCAACAGCACCTGTAGGAAGAATTGATTTGTTGCAAGTTGAAGGGACTAGAAGGACTAGGGGTAGACCAAAAAGGACATGAGTTGAAGTGTAAAAATAATTTCAGTGCCTGTAATTTAACAATTGATATGACATTAAACAGAATGGAATTGTGAAACAGGATTCATGTCACCGACCCCATATAGTTGGGATAAACGCTTGGATGATGATGATTAGTTAAGCTTAGAAGCCTCAATTTAAGCTGAAGTAACAATGACATTAAAGGATGAAGCAATACATTGTTCAAACAATCACAACTGAAAAGAAATCTTTGACGAAGAAGGTCTTGTATTATGAAGGATGAGGATACAACACCTACAAAGGGAGGTTGCTGAAGTAGTGTACCCCCTACCTGCACACAAGGTTCAAAGTATCGATACGATATGCCCCGTATCGTATCGTATCTTTTGAAAAAGATACGTTTCCAGGTGTTTCGGACCCCCAACTTTTTTTAATGATAAAAAACATCTTATAAGCTTCCCAAAAAACCAAACTTCGAAAAAAAACAAAAAAAAAAGTGTGTATCGGCCGCTTCTAAGTACTGATATGATACGGCCGAAATGCGTATCGTATCGATACTTTGAACCTTGCATTAGAAAGGTGTTGGGGGCCCTGGCTCCAACTGGGGGTCTGGGCCTGGGGAAGGAGCTCCTGGCCCAGACACTACGAAATTTGTCCATACAATGTCCAAACAGGTGTATTTTGGTTAATTATGTAAGGATTATGGCATCAGCAGTAATAAACTCTAGCTCAATAGTATAAATACTAGCTTTCTGCTGGGGCTGTAACAATTGACTTAAAATAGTTGAGTTTCACAGGGATCCTCTGTGGATGTAGGCTCAATATGCCAAATCACCTAAATCTGTGTGTTCTCACTTTGATTTCTTTGTTATTTTCTGCTATTCTTTGTGCTCTTCACAAAAATCTTAGAACATGAAATTAGAAGAAATAAGGATTTGACCTACTTCATGAAGACACCACTAAAATGAGGTGTTTCAGGACTCCTTAATCTAAAACAAACACAATCTGGAAAAATGAGTCATAATAACCAAAAATAAAAAAGAAAAGTTGTCTTCAGGACCCTTTATATCCTTATTTACACTTGTACCGTTAAGTATCTTGACAACCTAACAACTAGAGCTATAGATATCAGCAAGATCATTAACTTTATAATAAGAACTGAAAAAGTAGGTTAACATATTGCATAGACACAGACAAAAGTCTGAATCAGATGTATGTTTTGAAGACTGACTTGGCAAGATGAAATCACAGACTATGGGTTAAGTCCAATAATCAGTTTTTACCTTTCTCTCATAGACTTACTTTGGGAATTTGCTGACTTTTAGGTTAATAACTAATAAAACAAATTAGATAGAATCCTCCAATACATCTAGGTACTCACATTCAGGGTTAATGGGTCGGTCACAAGCTTTTCTAGGCAGAGCTACCCGAAGTTTGTTTAATAAGAGACAGTGCAGGTAGAATCGTGTAAAGTAAACCAATTGCGGTTGGATAAATGTAAATACCAGGCAGCAAGAGAAGGAAAGCAATGGCAAATGAAAGGCAACCTTGTTCAGGTGTGGCAATTAAACAACCACCTTGGATGCATATGAATGGAGGTTTTGTCCTGAAGCTAAAGTCTCCCACATGTAACCAGAAGCAAACATGCAAGTTATGGGGAGAACGAAGGAACTATAATGATTCTCTAGTATACAAGCAAGAATGCTAAAACAAAGCAACATCTTCGAATTTCTATGAACTTTAAAAGACAACCCATACATTATGGTAAACCCAGAACGCTAATGAACCAAAGAACAGAGTAAATGCAGCTTAAAGCACTGGACTAAGAAGAAAAAAAGAAAAGAAGAGTCAGATTGGAACAGATAAGAGGAGAGAGAAAGAAAATGAAGTTTCACTCACATGGACATGTAGCTCGAGGAGGAATTCCTGCTAATCTATGCAATTCATACTGGATATATGTGGTTTTTTCTCTAGTGAATATATTAGAAGAGAAGGATCGATGTGGGCTACTGGGATTAGTTTCGGCCATGTCTTTGGAGATAACAGCACGAGAGTGAGGACAACTGAAAGAGAGGGCGTTAAAAGATCTAGTCACGTAGGGACAAATAACAGACACATTTCTCTTTCTAGTGCGGAGCGCCGAGCCCAATCCGGGTTAGATCGGGTTGAGGTCAATCCAAATCCAATCCGGGTTGTTGAACCCCTAGCCCAACCTTGAAACTTTTGGTTGGGTTCAGGTTGGGCTCGAGTTGGATGTATAGATATATACATGTATAAATAAATAAATAAATATATAAAATAATTGCAGCAAAAAAATAATAAATATATAGATATATACATTTATGGATGCATAGTAGTGCACACACACATACATACATGCATGCATGAATAGTTAAAGCACATATACATAAGTACTTATACATAAATATATATTTATATAATACTAGTACTTTGCGTGTGCATGTGTTGCACGTAGTAGTAATAATAATAATAATAATAATAATAATAATAATAATAATAATAATAATAATAATAATAATAATAATATCATAGATGTGTCTACTTTTTGTTTTTATTTCTTCTACAATCTTTTATATATCTATCTAAAGTTAAAATTTTATTATTTAATCACGATCCTTATTTTTGTATAATATGATGAATATATAATATCAAGGATGTATCTTAATTTTTCTATAAGTTTTTTTTTTGTTTTTTCTTCTATATTTTTTACTATTTCTATCTATTTTTATTTGTTTATTATTTAATTGGTACATCATGGGTTAACCTATACTATTGAATTCTTGAAGTACTATTCCCCAAATAAAAAGACACAATTTTAAATTTTGTATTCCAATTACACCATCAATAAAAATAATTCTTATTTATCACACTTATTTTCTTTAATATGATGGCTATATAATATTAGAGATGTTCCAAATTTTCTACTAAAAGTTTCTATTTTTGTACTTCTATATGTTTTAAATTTTACTATTCAATTATAACAAAATGGTTTGACCCATTTGGTTTTAAATTTTGTATTTCATTACATCAATAATAAAAATATTTTTTGCTTACCACACTTACCTTTTGTATTTCATTACATCATTAATAAAAATAATTTTTGTTTAATAAAAATAAAATTTGTATTTCATAACATGGGTTGTTATTCAATTATAACAATAAGGCATATTTAAGTAGTCTTGACTTTTGCAAAACCACAATATATATTTAAAGTTGTAGGCATTGTGGAAGGGATGGTAAGTCTGAGAGTGAGAAGCAAAAGGGATTGATATAGGAAGGAGAGTGACAAGGGTTTGGTGAGTAGAGTTGATATTCTCAGAGAACAAAGTGCTCTCCAAGAACAACAAAATGAGGAAGATTCGATCCCCTCCTTCCTTACAAGTCTTGCTATTTATAGATGGAGGGACTCTAGTCTGAGCCAAAATTCTAGAGTATTCATTTGGTATTTGTTGGCTCGAGTTCCTAAGTTGATCCAAAGATGTTGATATGCATCAGCCTACAGAATGAGCTTCATTTGCTATTATGTTGGTCTACCCCCCTTACATAAGCCTGAGTTTGGAAGGAGTACAAATGCAAATATGTAGTGTAAAACCTTGTATTTTGTATTATTTTGTATGTATTTATGCTGTACATATTTGCATTTGTACTCTTTCCAAAACTGAGCCTAAGTAATTAACCTTAAATTATATACTTCCACACTGTACTTTAGGAATAGTGATATTTAGCTCTCTAAACTTTCGTCCATGATATATACCTACTTGAACTTTCAGATTCCAATACTTTGTCCCCTCCATGTGAAAAGGGTAAATTAAAGATTACCACCCTATACTGTGGAGGTGATGCCACTTATGTTGCATTTGGCATTCCTACTTATCTCCATTTTGCAATAAAAAGGAGATAAGTCCTTAAAATAAGAAATGCCAAATGCAGCCTTAGCCCTCTTAACTTTCATTTGCAACAAATACCCACCCTAAACTTTCAAATTACAATACTTTGCCCCGTTGTTATGATCAATTAACTTATTAAAAGATTCTCATGTGAGTTCTAAACTTTGCCTCTATCATTAGAAAGGGTAATTTAAAGATTGCCATGTTCTAAACTTTGCTCCTTTCATTTGCAATAAATATCCACCCTAATCTTTCAAATTTCAACACTTTGCCCTCTGTTGTTAGAATTTCATTAGGTAACTTTAGAAAAGATTCTCACATGATTTCATGTGTGTGTTTAAATATTTCTAAAACCCTAAACTTTCTTTTTGTCATTTTATAAAACCATTTTGCAAAAAGATGATAAAATAGAACAAAAATGGCAAATAAAAGAATAAGGAAATATAATAATAAATGAAGAAATAGAAGAACACACAACAAAATATAGAAAAACAGAAAATCATAGAAAACATCGCAAAAGAAGGAGAGTAAAATCCAAAAAAAAAAACAAAAAATTGCAAAAAATGAGACTATTTTGCAAAAAAGTGATAAAATACAACAAAAATGGAAAATAAAAGAAAAGTATAAATTCTAGATACTATAGAGAATACAAAAATAAATGAAGAAATAGAAGAATACAGAACAAAAAAAAAAAAAACAGAAAACCATAGAAAACATAACAAAGAAGGAGAGGATAACGAAAAAAAAAACTAAAAATTGCAAGAAAGAAAAAGACAAAAGACAAAATGCAATAAGGGATGTCATGCTTTAATGTGTTTATTTTCATTATTTTGACATTTTCTTCTCTCAATCCATTGAACTTCAATTGAGCATTTTAGTAATACCTTTACCATCAAACATGTTAGCTAAATAGGGTCAAAGTGTTGAAATTTGTTAAAATGAAAGTTTAGAGGGGTAAGTTTCACTACCCTAACCCAAAGTATAGGTTGTAGTCTGTAATTTACCCTTCAAAAAAAAAGCCACAAACTATGACCATTTTATTATGAGTTGGAAGAATAGCAATTCAACTGGATCTTAAAAGAAGCAAGAGTAGAAGGGGCATTTGTGCAAGATAAGCATGAAAGCCAGGAGATTACACTAAAGAAATTGATTCTTATCGGCTTGTGTTATTTTTTGATTCCTATATACCCACTTATATATGCATTAGTAAGTATGCACGTGGCAATTTTAGATGGTGATGATGATGATGATAGTAATAATACGTATCTAAATTTTGTATTTTATTTTTGGGCCGGTTTTAAATTTTATATTATCATTAAAAACAAGGCCTTAATAATTGTTTTTAAGGGTATTTTGAGTTTAGTCCCCCTCAGAATTCCTAATGTGTTCATAGAGTTCGGGTTAGTGTCAAGGGGGCGGGGGGAAGATTCCCAATTCATGGGGGGAAGGTGTGCATAAATACATTTGGGGAAACAATAAATTAAACCTGAGGTGGACTGAAAGATGTTCCCAAATTTTCTACAATTTATTATTTTCTTTTGTAATTTTTTTGTATTTATTTCCATTTTACAGTTTTATTATTTAACTTTGACATCGTGCGTCAGTCCATTTGACTTGGGTGGTTGAATTACTTACCCACCACCAAAATGGAAGAGTGGCATCATTTTTGGAATGGTTTTAGACATGGACTTTATTTTTCTAAGAGTATTGGATATAGATCTAATTGACATAATTTATTTGAAGAAAAAAAGATAGAATTTATTAATGAGAAAAAATATCTTAAATATAGGATTTAATAAAAGAGAATGAGAATTAATACCTTAAGTATAAGGCTTAATGAGAAGGGAATTGAATGAGGTAAAAATAAGTAGTTCAAAACTTCAAATTACATTTCCTACTCTTACAATTAAAGCTAATGGATATTTTAATCAAACAAAAGTTTCACACTCTTGTTCGTACTCTTAATAGTAGTAGAGATTTCCACACCAAGATTCTTGACAAATCACTAGGAGAATTTGGATAGTAACATTGTCCAATAGGGCTACAAATGGGTCTGATTCGACTAAGTTTGGCATACATTATGTTCATCATCACCATTTAAGCCTTTTTCCATGTATGGGGCCGGTTACATGAAAATGTTTTTATATAAATATGTTTATAATACATCAATTAAACTTATGCACATGTAATATATATATATATATTTTAATTTTTAAAAATATATAAAATTAAAAATTCTCATTTTTTTTTTACTTTTTCTATACTTTTTTTTTGAAAACCAAATTAGTTGCATATTTTTTTAGGTGTTTTTAAAAAGTTTCATAATTTGGAATATACACACAAATGTGCCAAGTATGCAATAATTATGGCATGCATGAAATATTTCAACCCAATAGTTCTTTTTTTTGGGGGGGGGGGAATTATCTAAAAAACCTTTCTTTACTTTACTAACAATGTCAAAAACTTCCCCAACTTTTGGGTTCCTCCACAGAACCCCCTTCCCGAAAAACTAGATGTGTTTTATCAGATGGAAAACAAAAGAATGTAAAATTGCTACTTTGGCCATCATATATAGTTTACTATTTAGTTGGGACCTGTAAGATGCACATGCTTTATTAAGTAAAATAGAAAAAAAAATGATTCTTTAATTTCACACAAAAATTACATCTACAATGATTGTACATATGTTCAAATACCCACCATTTTCCATATTAGATTAGAGGACTTCCATTATATAAATTTTGGTTTATTATTTATCCTTGATGCAATAAGGTATTTCCTTTACCACATGGCATGGTTCTGCCATTTGATAGATAACATGGAATTTCATGATAATCGACCTAACTTGTTAGTGTTTGCATAGAAGAATCCTATCAAGACTCTAGCGTTAAAGTGATAAATTGTACGTTTTATGAGATAAATATCAGCAGTTCAATACCAACCAATAGTATAATTTTTCTCCTCTGGATAATCTGCAGCCCATACGAACATTTTTTGGTCCAAATGGGTGTATCGCCTTAAATATAATACTAATGGTTCTTTGCAAAAATGTAAGGCTAGGTTGGTGGCTCAAGGATTCAATCAACAACCTGGGGTGGATGTTGGTGATACATTTTGCCCTGTTGTTAAATTCACCACTATTCAGGTTGTTCTTTGTGCTGCTCTCACTCGGCACTAGCCAATTAAACA